CCCTCGTTGTCGCCGCTCGATCTCGATCCCTGAATCTCTCAGATGAAAGTCCGACGGCGCAACTCCTAATGCTAGGCCCAAGTCTGGGTTTGGCTCTGACGGACGCCTAAATAAACGGGCGTCGGGCGACGCGCGAGCCTATTGAAGACGCTTCAAAGCCTCCTCGTTGTCGATGCTGTCCTCCGCGCGTACGCACAAATCACAACAAGCATACTAATCTCGAGACATAATCTTTTTAATCCTAGCTTAATCAGGAGTAAAAATCAAGTCGGCGACCAACGCCGACTTTCGCAGTCATCAATCAAAAAAATAAAAGATCACGCGCGCCTCAAATCTGCGCGCCCACGCACTCTCTATTCTAGTCACACACCCTGTCAAACATCAACCCCAGACTCAGTCGCGCCTCATGCGGTATACTTAGACTTCAAACCAAAACTATTTCCTGTCGTTTGCAAGAACCAGGGCGGATACCCTTGTAAGGGTATTCGCACCGACAGCGGGCACTCGGCTTGCTGAGGCCTCTGCCCGGGACATGTGTATGTCTGATAGGGGCCCCGTGAGGGCTCATTCCTCGCATTCCATCCCCCTTAGCTTCGAAAGTCCGCTGAGATGCTTCATGTTGGTGCCTTCCCCTTCTCTCTCCTCTCATACTCGGCCACGATATGAGGAGCAGTCTTAACCAGTTCTTCCCTGCTAAACCACCGATCTTCCTTCGGGTCAGTATGATGCCTGAAACGTACTTTGTACTCCCTTACAGGTTTAGGCGGTCTACCCCTGCCAGCTGGCTTGGGAACAGGCGTGTCTCCATGCTCCAGGATATCGTCGACGTCCACGTGGCCATCCATGGTTGGGGGCAGCATAGATCTCCTTGATGGGAATTGTTCTATCTCAGCGAAAGGAGTGAGTTGTGAGGCATGAAACACAGGGTGAGTGCGTAAGTGACCAAGGATACGGATAACGTACGAGGGACCATCCATCTCGTTACCCACAACATCCAGGACTTCCAGTTCACTAGCCTTAACCTAGACACATTCCTCTACCTGAAATGTGGACTGTCGGCAATGCTTGTTCTCAGAAGCAATCATTGCTTCATGAAACTTCTTGATGTTCTTGACAGCTTGCTGCAGCAGCTTCTCGTACTGAACACCAAACTCAATGGTTCCAAGAGTTGCAGCAGGTCGGTTTTCAGAAAGGAGGAAGTCAAGTGCATCCTGGTTGGGCTTAATATAATGCCTCAGCAGATGCTGCACCACCCGGTTCAGCTATTCAGCCTGTCCACCGGCTTCGCGATGATTCCCATAAGTCATTTGGAGGTGGTTGCCCATCTGTTCAGTGGCCTTCTTCCACATCTCGCTTGTGAAACGCACATCTCTATCACTAACGATCGTCTTTGGTAGTCCAAATTCACGCACCCAGTTATCCATGAATAACTTGATGACGTGTTCAGTCCTGGCAGTCTCCGGCATGACAATTAGTCTAGCAAACTTAGTGAACCTATCAACTATGATGAAGATATGTCTCTTGCCACTCTTGCTGGTCACGAGGGTCTCCATGAAGTCCATGGAGATACTCTGTCCCGGACCAGTAGGAATGGGTAGAGGCTTTGGTAACCCAAGCGGAGCTTGAGTACGCGGCTTATCCCGCTGACAGACCTGACAGGTCTGCACATACTTCTTTGCATCGTCCAGCATGTTAGGCCACCAGAATCGCTGGACTAAATTAGCATTAGTTTTCTTATAGCCGAATTGTCCCATTGTGTCGTGGCACTCACCTAAAAATAAGCTACGCAAAATCTCTCTAGATGGAACAACTAACCTTTTAAACCCTGCCTTTCTCAAGAAAGAGTAACCCATCCACCATCACAAACTCGTTAGTGGTGGCCTTGTCTTTGGCCCCCAGTTTGATGACAATGTCCATTGTGATAGGGTCTTCCTTATAGGCTTCCCCCAAGGATCGAGTAACGTTCTCAGAAAGGCCAAACTCATAAATCAGCGCACCTAGATAATCTGCCCTACGAGACAAGGCATACGCAACCTTATTGTACTCTCCTTTCACATAGTCTAGTTTGAAATCATATTGATCTATGACTTCAATCCAGCATTTGAGTGCATTGGAGAGAACTGATTGTGTCTTAATCCATTTGAGGGTCCGATGGTTAGTTCTCAAATAGAAGAACCTTCCTAGATAGTGCCTCCAGTGGACGAGTGCCTTGTAGAGGGCATAAAGTTCCCTCTCATAGGTGGACTTTGCCAACTTCTTCGATGGCATCCTTTTGCTCATACACTCGCCCGGTCTCAACTTTTTCCCTTCCTGCTGAGCCAGCACTGCGCCAATGCCGTATTGGCTTGCGTCAGTGGTTACAACAAATGGCCTTTGCGGGTCGGCTACCATGAAAACCTCATGGTGAGTGAGTGCATGATTCTAACGTTTGAAAGTTGCCTCAAACTCGTCGGTTCATTCCCATGGCGTATCAAGTCCAGTTAAATCAGTCAAGGGAGATGTGATCGTGCTATAGTTCTTAACAAAGTTGCGGTAATAACCACACATTCCCAAGAATGATCTGACCCCAGTCTGTGTGGCCAGTCATGTATGCTAGCCACCTTCGCACCTTTGGGCCTAATCCCATTCGTGGAGACTTCATGACCCAAGTACAAGGTTCAAGTGCGACCGAACTCACATTTTTTTGAGTTTATCTTATACTTGTGTTGCCGAAGGAGTGAAAGTACCTGGTCTACATGTTGAGCATGCTCCTCGACAGTCTTACTAAAGATAAGTATATCATCGAGGTACACGACGATGAACTTATCTAAGTAGTTATGGACGATCCTATTCATGGCGTGTTGGAATAAACCCGACGCATTGCAAAGGCCAAAGGGCATCACCACAAATTCGTACAGACCGTACCTGGTTTGGAATGCAATTTTGTGTTGATTCTCTGGTCTTATAGCAAGTTGATGGTAGCCGGATTTTAACTCTATCTTAGCATAGTACTTACATCCCTGCACCCTATCCAATAGGTCGTCGATGCATGGTAGAGGCTCTACATTCTTAACAGTGATGGCATTGAGGCCTCTATAATCAATGCACATCCTTAGTGTTCTCCCTTTCTTTGGGACAAATAATACTGGTGAGCCAAAGGGGGAGGTGCGAGGTCGTATCCAACCCTTCTCTGTGAGCTCTTTCAGTTGTCGTCGAAGCTCGTCCAACTCAGTCGAAGCCATCCTAAAGATTCCCCCTTCAAGTATCTTGCTACCTGGGATGATCTCTATGGCATGAACAACCTCCCTGTCTACGACTCCTGTAAGCTCCTCAAACAAATCAGGGTACTTAGCAACGATATTCTTTACCTCTGGGGTGTTTTAACGGCCTCCCCTTTCTCAAAGACATAGACTAGGTACATACCTTCCTCTTGGTTTTGTTTGAAATAATTATAAAACGCAGGTGCGCATAAGCACCCATAAGAGTCAATTAATCTACTGGCTTCGTACTTAGCCAGTCTAACGGTTCTCCCATTAAGCAACTCCTTTTAGCACCTTCTTGTCCCAGTCAAACTGGGGCTTGGCAACCTCAAGGTAGTATATTCCTAACAACATATCGAAAGGCAAATCGTCGCTCACCAGGAACAAATATATATGATTAAGTTATCTTCCTGGATAGGAGAAAATGCAGACCACGTCCTTAACGTAGTCCTCTACCATCATGCGCTCTTTGTTGGCCAAAGTAGACGCTACCGGTCTACTAAGGCGCTGCACCCGGTCCTTTAGGTGCAACCTCTCAACGCTGTCGCGACTTATGAAGTTTCGTGTGAAGCTGATGCCTACGAAGGCACCGCACTTGTGGCCACCCACACCGACTTCCACAACGAAATGCTCCACTCTAGGACCTTGACTTAGTGCCACCCAGGACTCACGAGGGTCCCTTGCCCACCACTCACCTTGAAGGTCCTCTAAGGCTTCAGACACATCCAACGTACAGAGTATAGTAGGGTCTGGATGCGTCTGCGGGGTGACTAAGGAGTCAATAGCTTCGGCCAACTCTTAAAACGGGGAGGGTACATGACCCGCTTCAACAAGAGTAGAAGAAGCTACAACTTCTACTGGCGCTAGGTGTTTCCCGAGCTGGAGCTTGTAGAGGCCCCAGACTGAGAAGAAGGATACTCACCCTTAGGAGGGATCTTCTGCACGACCTTAGCGTTCTTGCATTTGAACTGTTGATGGCCATACTGGCCGCAGTTTATGCAAGCCCCACGCTGCCAACGGTCCCGCCACAAATCTTGATCCAAAATGGCTCTAACCCAAGCAGCTATTTTGTTTGGGTTTGCAGTTTGCCCCTGACTCCTTTGTTGACCGCCCTAGCCGCGGCCACCTGCCTTAGTCTTGACTACCACGGCTAGGTTGCTACCCTCAACACTATCCTCGTCGTCTAACTCTGAAATCTCCACAAGGTCAGAAATGTCATCGATCTCAGTTTGATTCCCTTCGGAATCAACCATCATCAATCGACTACCTTTTTTCTTCCACTCTTGCGGAGCCTTCTTCTTTCTCCCGTCCGTAAGGGGGGTTTGAGCACCACCCAGCGTAGCCTCTAAATCTAGGGCCTTCTTGCTGAAGGTCTTAAAGGTGTGATAGTCGAGCCTTGCTGGCTAACAAGTTATTGATGTCTGTGGGAAGACACCTCAAGAACCTGGTCAGCAAGACCTGTGGATTGTACTCCACACCTGGGACGACAATCAAACGCTCTACTGTCGTAGTGAGTTCGCGCACCGACTTGTACTTCCTAGCATCAAGTTTCAATAACCCATCGATGGCTATCTGCGCCTGCTGAAGGTTGTGCCACCTCGCCTCTACCAAATCCATAAAGCTCTCTAGGGTGTAGGTCTTGGCCGAATCACCCATGTTCCTACCGAATTCCTTGGAAGCCACCAATCCATTAAGCCAGCGAGCTACTAAACCCTCTAAGTAGGATGCAACACTTATCACCTCCTCCTCTACCAGCGTCCTCTTCGCCCTGACCCACACTGGAACCGTTCTCAACCAAGAGTCAAGAGTCTCCTCCTTCTTATCTCCTGAGAAGGTGACGGGTGGTTTCAGTGGGGTCTTGGGGTACCAAGGTTGTTCTTGTCCCACTTGTGAGACAGGTGGCGGCTGGGGTGTAGCACCCGCCGCTGGACCAGAAGATGAAGAAGCAACGGTCTGAGATAGGGCTGTTGTTGAAGTACCGCTTGGTGGTGGTCCGCATTAAGGGGCATAGGGGCCTGTCATCACTGAGAATGGCAACGATGGCAAAGCTGGTGGCCGGATTCCTGGCCTGTGCATGGCATTTAGGATCTGGTCCAGGGTGTCCTGAATAGCATCCAGCTTGCTGTCCACGTATGCATGCATGGACAGGATGCTCGCCTTGAAGACCTTTGCCGTGTTGTCAAGGCCTGAGTCATCTAACCCCTCTAATGCAGCTTTGTCTCCCGCCCTACCCTCTAGTCTGACACTTTAATCTCTTTTTCTTTGTCAGTAACTTTTTTAAGTTCCTCCTCTAACCTTAAGCGGTTCCTCTCTACCTGTTGGAGCTCCATGAGCTCCCTAGTAAGGTAAGGCGGCGAGCTGGACTGCACACCAACCATCTGAATAGAGCCAGCTCCTGACGTACTAAAGCCGGACTGCGAGATGGACCATCCCTGCGGCATGCCGAGGGAGTTTGCAGCAAACGATGCTGCTGAGGTAGCCATTGCTACCGCACTGGCTGCTGCTGCTGCCAATGCTCTCTCCGCAGCCGATGCTACTTCCCTTGCAGTCTCTAGATTACGGGCCCTTGCTTCGGCCCTTGGTCTTCTTTCATCTCCTGGTAGTAGGACCTCGAACACTAAGGGTATCATGCCTGTGTCCCGTCATGTCTGCCTCCTATCGTCAACTCTACCTTCACCCCCGGTTGATCCACTCATCGGCTAGGCAGATACTGTTTGCACTAGGACTCTCGCTAGAACCTACCGCAACATGCGTCTGGCCAATGCTAAAAATAAATAAATAATAATTATCCGGCGAGTTACCTACACGGCTGATCCACTCATCGGCTAGGCAGATACTGTCTGCACTAGGACTCTTGCTGGAACCCACCGCAACATGCGTCTGGCCGATGCTAAAAATAAATAAATAACTGTCTCTCAATATGTCGATCGTGTTAAGTGTTATTTCAGAACCAAGGAAGGTAAGAAAATTCTACACAAGGTATCCTTCCTGATAGAGAAGAATTTACCCTTTGACTTAATTCTGGGTATGGATTGGCATGAGGAAGCCGACCCAGAAGTCAAGTTCAAAGATAAGATTGTCAAACTCAAGGACGAGAAGTTCGAACTGCGTACTATAAAGTTATATCATAAGTCTGGCTCTGACTCTACTCTGTCTTTCTGTTGTATGAGTTATCCAGCTTTTCGATCGATTGTCGTTAAGAAAAAGTTAGATCAGGAGGTGATGATGGTGCTTGTTAAAGAAGTAGTAAGTGTTCTTCATCTTGCCCACCTTCTGTTGAAAAACTTCTTAATGAATACAAGGACTTGCAGACTGAGCCGACGGGAATCACTAAGCGTGCTATTAAGCACACGATTGAGATCATTCCCGGAAGCAAGATTCCCAAGGGTCCTATTTACCATATGTCTCCAAGGAAACTTGAGAAATTACGAAAGCAGTTGCAAGAACTTACTGATAAAGGATGGATTCACCCTAACTCATCTCCTTATGGTGCACCTGTCTTATTCGTACCCAAAAAGAAAGGTGAACTTCGCTTATGTATTGATTATCGCGGGCTGAATTTCGTCGCTGTTAAAAATGCGGAACCTTTTTCGCGCATTGATGATCGATTGGATCAGTTGCAGGGGTGTAGATACTTCAGTAAGATTGATCTCAAGTCAGGATACCACCAGATTGAGGTAGTTCCTGAGGATCAACACAAGACGGCTTTCCGAACTAAATATGTTCACTACGAGTTCGTGGTTATGCCTTTCGGTCTGACCAATGCACCTGCGACCTTCCAAAGGTCAACGAATGAGTTATTTCGTCAGTGGCTTGACCAATTCGTAATAGTCTATCTCGATGACATTCTAGTGTATAGAAAAACACTAGAAGATCACGAAAAACACTTGCGAATGGTCTTGCGGAAGTTGCGCGAGGGCAACTTCAAACTGAATTCGAAGAAGTCTGGGTTTGCTAAGCCTGAAGTTTTGTACCTAAGGCATATAGTAAACGAAGAAGGACTAAGGCTTGGAAAAAAGAAGATTACAACAATCAAAGATTGGCCACAACCCAAGACTATAACGAAACTAAGATCTTTCTTATGACTAGCTAGCTATTATAGGAAGTTCGTTAGAGACTTCTCCTTGATAGTCGCTCCTATGAGGAAACTATTGAAAAAGGAAAAACCTTGGTTGTAGGACAAAGACTGTGAGTCATCGTTTCGAAAGTTAAAACATATTTTAACTCACTACCCTGTCCTAAAGATTGCTAACCCTTCACTTCCTTTCATTGTCACGACTGACGCAAGTCAGTATGGGATTGGGGCTGTGCTACAGCAGGATGACGGTAAAGGATATAAACCTATTGAGTTTATGTCAAGAAGACTTCGGTCAGAAAAAGTAGCCAACTCTACGTATGCACGGGAATTGTATGCCTTAGTAGCGACACTAGATACCTAGAAACACTACTTGTTAGAAAGGCATTTCACTGTCTACTCTGATCACTCTACATTGAAATGGATCAAGACTCAACCTAAACTCTCTGACAAGTTGGCAAGGTGGTCCGCATTCCTTGATACATTTGATTTTGAGGTGAAAACCATCAAAGGTAAGTCTAACGTGGTTGCGGATCCTTTGTCCAAGCGTGACAATTTCCTTGGAACAATTGTCTCTTATCTCCATATTGAAAATGAATTGAAAGAACAGATCCGCCAGGGTTATGGGAGTGATCTTATTTGGAGTCCTACCATTGGAACTCTACGAAAGAAACCAGAGTTATTTCCAGAATATCGAATGACTGATCGTTTACGCTTCTTGTTGGGCAAAACTAAAGAACGATTGTGTATTCCTCACTTAGAACCAATTAAGAGTTTGATTATTGGGGAATGTCATCATGCGGAAGGTCACTTTGGTTTCAAGAAGACGTATGCCGATGTACGAGAATGTTTTGAATAAAAAGGAATGAAGGAAGATGTACTAATGTATGTGCGGACTTGTCTTGTTTGTCAGAGGAAAAAACCCTCACATGAGCATCCAATGAGACCACTGAGACCGCTGCCTGTTCCAAGAGAGCCAGGTGAGTCTATTTCCATTGACTTCATGAGTCTCACTAAGAGTCGAAACGGCAACACTCAGGTAATGGTCATTGTTGATAGATTCTCTAAGTACAACATGTTCATTCCTTTACCTGTGGAAGCAAGAACTGAACTAGTCATCCAAAAGTTTCAAATGTGATGGATCTCTGAGTATGGATTTCCTAAAACCATCGTATCCGACAGAGATGTTTGGTTCACTAGTTTGCAATGGCAAAAGTTGATGGAAGTCTACGGAACCCGATTGACCATGTTGTCAGGCAGACATCCTGAAACGAATGACCAAACTGAGCAAATGAATCGTCTTTGCCAACAACTTTTGCGAATGTATGTCCGTCCTGACCAGATTGACTGGGATGAGAACTTGCCGAAAATTGCTAGTGCATATAATAACAGTATACATATTGTTACAGGAAGAATGCCTAATGCAGTACATAAAGGTTGGAAGCCTAAGTGTCCCATTGATGCATTAACTAGGGACCACATTCAAAGGCGACCCCCAAGAACACAAAAATTCACAGTTTTGTATGAAGAAGACATTAGGAAAGTGAAGGAAAATATTCAGAATGCCCAACAACAAATGATTGAACAAGCTAATAAACATCGTCGTCCTTCACAATTTCAGGAAGGGGACCTTATCAGGGTTAAGTCTAAGGAGTTTTCCTTGGAAGAAAGCGTATCTCAGAAACTGCTACCTGTCGACTATGGGCCCTGGAAAGTTCTCAAAGTAATTGGAGGTGAAGATGAACCTTCCTATCGTATAAATATATCTCCACACCTCAGGACATACCCTGTCTTCCATGCGTCTAAACTGCTACCTTATGTAAAAAGTGATAACTTGCCAAATAGGCCATCTATGTTTTCACCTTCTATGAACGGAGGATATGAAGTTGAGAAAATACTGGAACATGGCTATTTCTCTACAGGTGGCAGGGGACGACCTCAGAAGCAGTACAAGGTAAAGTTCAAACCTCAACCCTCATCTGAAGCCAGATGGTTTAGTAGGAAAGAACTCCTACCTACTGCTCCTGATATTATTGCTGCATATAAACGTGGGTTAACTGAGAATTGATGTATTTTCTGCGATGGAACTCGAAAACTGGGCCGGCAGGAATGCAATAACCCATGCCATATGTCTCGTGGAAATACTAAGGGCCAACTCGGTCGACCTCAACCCACGCCAAAACAGGGGTAAAGACCCCACACAAACATTCAGGGCCTGGACATGAGACAATTGACTTTTGTCAATTGCCTTGACCCCAATAGTCAAAGTCCAAAGGTACCCAGTCCAGGCCGCTGGTCAAGCACACACACTTGTTTGTATGCAGGTACCCAGACAACATAAGGTCCAAGGGGAATGTTTGCAACTGAACGATCCAGGTCTTCGGCTGAGACTCATTCTGGACGACTGAGGGAAGGAGACCTGAGGCCAGAGAGCCTCCCCAAATACTACTTAAAGACTGGCCTCGAGGTGGTCAGCATTCAGTCTTGCTATGTTGGTTCAACGCTGGCTTGACTTTGACTTGACGTTGGCATTATGCTAGCGCGACGCTGGCTGTGCATCAGAGTTGCGGACGACAACACGAGGGAGAGGCAACACGCAGACATTGTACGCCTGACATGCTGATGTGGCGCTGCCTCTGGTTCACCCGGCTGACCATGTCGTCAGGCAGACATCCTGAAACGAATGGTCAAACTGAGCAAATGAATCGTCTTTGCAAACAACTTTTGCGAATGTATGTCCGTCCTGACCAG